GTACTGACTATAACCTCTAACACAAAAGTCCTGAAGAGCAATGGCGAGAGCAGAGATGCTTGCATTGTTCAGTCTTTAAATATGATGTTATTTGTAGGTGTTTTTGGTTTGTTTATTTGTTTTTGTAGATGCTCTTTATGAATTTGAGAATTATCTATTTATAGTTTATTGAGAGCTTTTATCATGGATAAAATCATGAGAGCTTGTATCATGGATTTAGTCAAATGTTGTTTCTGTGACTTCCATGTAGTTTTCCCCGTTTATTAATATATATTAACTTGTTTTAAGATGGTAAACCACCTTGCATTCCTGAGATAAAAGCTGCTTGATCATGGTATATAATCTTACCCATATAGCTGTATTTGGTTTGCTAATAATTTTGTTGATAATTTCTGTGTCTGTATTCATAAAGGAAATTGATCTCAAATTTTCTTGTTGTATCTTTGTATGGCTTGGGTACCAGAGTAATACTGGGATTATAGAATGAGTTGGGAAAGTGTTTTTTTTTTCTCTGATTGATGGAAAAAAATTGTGGAAGATTGATTTTTTTCCTTCTATAAATATTTCATAGAATTCACTAGTGAAGCCATTTGTACCTGGACTTTTCTTAGTGGCAAAACTTAATAATGAATTCATTTATTTTATTTTTTAAAATATTTATTTTTTAGTTGTAGTTGGGCACAGTACCTTTATTTTATTTATGTATTTTTATGTGGTGGCTTAGGATTGAACCCAGGGCCCCACATGTATTAGGCGAGCACTCCATCACTGAGCCACAATCCTAGCCCTCATTTTTTTGTTTTTAATTATTATGTTTTTTTTTTCTCTGCTTGCTTTGGGTTGAGTTTGCCTGTCTTTTTCTAGTTTCTTAAAATACATTCTTAACTTAATGATTTGGTATGTTTCTTTTTTTCTGATATTGGCATTTAAAGCTATATATTTCCCTCCTAGCACTGCTTAGAGGTCAACAGTGTTGGTCTGAGGTTTTGTTTAAATACCTTGAGCTACCAAATCTTTCTTTTGTGTACAAAACCTCACAGCAAGCCAGGGATGAGTAGATACTTGAGGATGTATCTGATCTTTCCTGAGTGCACACACAACCTTGCACATGTGTATAGCCTTCTGAATTACCAGAGGTATCTGGAAGTTTATCCAAGCCCATTATGACTATTTGTTTTTCAGATCTCTTTGTGAAATTTCCAAATGTTTGTGCTTACTTCAATTAATATTATAGTCTCAAATAGCTGCAATATTGGGCAGTTTGACAGTTTGCCATTGAATTCATGATTGATTTTTACATACTGTAACACCTCTTAATAACATCACAGGCTGGGAACTAAGCCTTTAACACAGAAACCTTTGGTTGACACTTAAACAACAGCATTGTCTTTTGGGAACTCAAATTAATAAATTATCTACTTGAAGTTGTATCACAGTTCCCTGATGCTGGTAATTTTTTTTTTGAGTTTTTTAAGTCTCTCGTTGTTTCATTTAAAGTAGAATATCTTACTATATTTTTAGAGTTATTAATTGCATCTCCTTTGCTGTCTAATCTGCTGGTCATCCTATCCAGAGTATTTTTCATGTCTAGATAATTGATATTACCTATTTTTTATATCTTCTATATATTTAAATATTCTCAGTTTTCCTCTGTCTTCTTAAATGTAGAAACTATAGTGATGATAACTTATATAATGCTCTTATCTGTGAATTATATGTGTGTCATTTTTGGTTTATATCTAATAATTGATTTTGTTCCTCATTATGAATGACAATTTTCTGCTGGTTTTGTCTTCTTGGTAATTGTGTTTGGATTCTATATATATTGTAAACCTTTATCATTTTGCTTGTTGGAAATTTTGGTATTTGTAGAAATAATAAGTTTTAATCAGAGATTTTCTTCCTTCTGGGATTTTCAAGTTTATTTGCTAACTTTTAAACTTTGAGGACTTAAAAGACTTATCAAAGAACCCATAAGCCTTCATTCTATGACTGATTTTGTCCCACTGCTGAGGTGATACCCTGCTGAATACTTTGTTGATTTTTCTTGCATTATGAGTTTTTCTATTCTGTTGGATGGGAGCATAGAATTTTACTAGTCCTGCATGAACTCCTGGGATTATTCTATCTTCTTGTGTTGAGTGGTTCTTTTCCCAGCAGTGGGTAATTCTTTCACATGCATGTGCCGATCAGTGCTTAGCTGAAGATTTGAGAAGAATCTACTATGTATTTGGAGTTCTCTCTTTGAAGCACTCTCTTTTATGCTGTTCTAACCTGTGAACTCTATTCTCTTCAGTCTTCCTGGATCCCAAGCTTTGTTTCTAAAGAAAGGGAATCAGCTAGCTTTATGTCCCCCATCCGTGTCCTATGACTTGGATCCTCTCTACAGGATAATTATCTTGCTCCACCTTGTCTTATGTTTGAAAACTGTTGTCATATATATACACACATATACATATATACACAAACACATACACTTTATTATTTTTTGGTGGTCTAGGGGATCAAACCCAGGGTCTCAAGAATGCTAGGTAAATGTACCATTGAGGCATACCCCCAGCCTTGTCCCATATGTTTTGTCCAGTTTTTAAATTATGTCAGTTGGGAGGGTAAATCTCATCTCTCATTTCATTTTTGGAAGATGGAAATCCTGGAATTCATTCTTTCCCCAGGAGTCAAATTGATATTTTCTTTTTCTAGTATACTACAACCAAGTAGGATATATTCAAGTATACTGGGTTGGTTCAACATTCAAAAATCAACTGATGTATCCCCAGACTAGTGTATCCATGACAGAAGTCAGTTTTACTTTTGAACTTGGAAATTTGATTGATTTCTTATTGCTCTTTATAAAAATCATACTCTGCATATTCTGAGCCCTGTTGTACCTTTTTGTTTGGTCAAAAATTCATTTTAATGCTTCTATTCCAGCTTTATTCTTCTTCTCTTTCTCAAACATGCTACAGATCTTGCATTTGAAATGCTTATGCCATTTTTCTGCTATGCCCTTCTTTAATGTCTAACTATTTTATATCTTCAGCTTATTTATTACTTCCATAGTAGGGATTTTCCTGATGAAACTATCTGAACCTTGACCTCCAATACAAGCTGTTCTGTTATCTGATCTCAAAGCATCCATAATTATCCTTTCTATTTCTTCTTTAGTTCTTATTCATCATTCTTATTATTAATTATTTATTGTGTGTCTTCACTAGAGTTTAAGCTCTTACTTTCCTACAACACAGTAGGCATACAATAAATTCTTGCTGAACACATGTAAAAGGTTTAATTAGATAATTTGTATGTTTTTATCTATAATTTTATTCTTATAGGAAAAATATTAAAGAAATTGTACTGATTTGCCTTAATAAGACTTTTAGTTCTTGAGCATCATTTTTGTCATCTCTAAAATTAATATCAACATTGTCTCCAAATGCCACCTATTTGATTTTTCTAAAGCAAAAGAATCTCTTCTATTTACTATTGTAGAATTTCAATTTGGCTATAGGATAACACTGATCACTTTGTTATTTTTCCTTCCTCTTCTGTACTGTAAATTTCTTGTTGGTAATAACTATATGTTATATATTTCTCTTTTTTTAAAGAGAGAGAGAATTTTTTAATATTTATTTTTTAGTTTTCGGTGGACACAACATCTTTATTTTATTTTTATGTGGTGCTGAGGATCAAACCCAGCAACCTGCACATGCCAGGCGAGCGCGCTACGGCTTGAGCCACATCCCCAGCCCTGTTATATGTTTTTCTATTGTCCAGATCTTTTAGTGAATATTTCTTCTAAGCATGCTTAAAATACCTTTAAAAATGATAATGTACTTTTATAGTGTGCTTTATAACTTAGGAGGTCTTTTTCCTTTGTTCTCTCATTTAGAGTAGTAGATATTTCTCTGGTACAAATGGTGAATATTATTACTATGTATTGTGTCCTTTAGTATAAAATATTATTCTGACTAAAACATCAATAAGAAGATCCATATTGATAAATAGTATAGAACCATAGCTATGGGCATTTATTGGCAAAACTTTAATTTCCTTCTCTTAATAACAGAATTATTTTATTTCTCTCTACCCTGACATAAGGCTTGGTGCCTGGAGCACAGCTGCTGTCCATTAAATATTTACCTTAAAAATAAAATTGGAAATCTGAGTTTTATCAGTCTATATGTTTCTTTTAAAAATTTCTTTGGTATGTCTAACTTCTGGAACAGCCCAATTCAAAATAAATTTGTAGTCACTGGCAATCAAATTTAAAAACTTCTCTTTTCCTAGTTGTTTCCTATCTTAGCTTTGATTCTTTTATACAAGTTGAACTTAACCTAGAATTAATATATCTATATTAGAAAGGAGCTTATAGTTTATCTAATATTCTTAATTGATTTTCATCTAATTCATCTTATCTCTTTGCTTTATTACTTATATGCACATTCATACCTATACCTTCATTAGAAAATTTATAGTTGTTTTTGTATACTTGTTAGGTTGAGAAATATCTGGTATAATGTCCTCATAACTTTGTGATTTTATGGTTTTACATGGGATGACTTTTCTACACATGTCTTCTAATTATCTTTCTCTGGTTAAATGGAGAGCAGCAGTGACATACTCTGGTTGCCTATGTTATTTGCTAGAATTTATTATAGAAGAACCACTACATATAGGTCACTCATAGTTTCTTTTGCTAATATAAAAATAAATTGAGCTATGCACTCACTTTTCATGTTGAAATACAAAACTGAGCATAGATTAATTTTATACACAATAAAAGATCGTTAGAGTCATTAGGAGAGCACATTTGATGAATTCCATCTGAAAGAGTATTATTTACTTAAATATAAAAAAATAGAAACATAATCCAAGTAAATGTTAGTAGCTACTCAATAAAAAAATATTTAAAAAAATGTTCTCTAAAGTTTAAGGATAGTATTTATAAATGAAAATGATCTGTGCTTTTCTTAATATATATGTTTTAATTTATCTCAAAGTCTAGAAAATGGGAATTTCCTTTCTAAAAGATCAGCAATAATTATGAGTGAGGATTTTGGAAACATGAATAAAAGAAGACAGTCAGATTTCATTATTGAAAAACAGTCAATACAACAAATCTGGGGAGAAAATGGAAAAGAAGTTTCAAGTTTTCTGGAGAATGTGAATGAGCCAACACATAGACTTCTGTCAGAGAATTGTGACTCTTTTGTTCCTCAAAATATGATAAATTTATTAGACCTTGATCAACAAAGGGTAAAGAAAACCTTTGACAAATGTGGCTATGATAGTTTAGGGGATATTTGTTTGGTTACAAGTTCGGATGAAAACCATTCCATTGATGGAAACAGAAGCATTTTTACAGCTCCAGAGTCAACTTTTAGTAGTTCTACTTTAAATAAAACAAGTTATCCAGAAAAACATCAACCAAACAGGAACTATCAGGAAAAGCACAACAATAATGAAATAAATGACTTTGCTACATGTTTTGAGGATTGTTACCTAATCAGCTCTGAAAAGAAAGGTTGGTGTTGTATGTGGAAAATGTAAAAATCTATACTTCATCAGTTTTAATATACATATTTGTATATCTTAGGTATATGTCCACACACATACAGTGAGCCCTTCATATTTGTGGGTTCCCCATCTGAAGATTAAACCAAATGATTGACATCATTTAAAAATAAAATTGCATCTGAGCTGGATGTAGTAATGCTGCTGTAATCCCAGCAGCTCGGGAAGCCTAGGCAGGAGGATCACAAATTTAAAGCCTGCCTCAGTTATTTTGTGAGGCCCTAAGCAACATGGTGAGACCCTATCTCAAAATTTAAAAATGAAAAGGGCTGAGGATGTGGCTTAGTAGTTAAGCACCCCTGGGTTCAATCTCTGGTACCTAAATAAATAAATAATTGTATCCAGATATAGATATTGTTTAGCGTTTTACTTAAAGAATTCAATATTATAGCTATTTATATTGCATTTCCATTTTATTGGATGTTATAAGTAACCTAGAGATGATATAAAATGTATGGGAGGATCTATGTAGCTTATATGCAAATACTAAACCACTATTATTGAAAACCATTATTATCTGAAAGACTTGAACATCCATGGGTTCAATATGTGCAGGAGTGGCAGAGGGAGATTCTGAACTGACTATACTGTATATATTTATATGTATGTTTCTGTGTTTGGAGAAATATGAAACCAGAAATATAATGATGATTAGGTGACATTGTAGACTTATGATCTCTCTGTGTGCCATGCTAATATGTTTTGTATTGAAAAATGATAATAGACTGTGTTAAATTTTTAACACACACTTTCATTTTTGAAGGAAAACTTAACAATGTTTACCAAGAGAAAACACCACAGAAAAATATCCAGGAATATCCAGTGAACTCTATGTAAGTTTTTAGGTAAATCTGGAGAATGTAAATTAGGATGTAGTATATAGAAGTTTGAACTAATGCAAAGTGAGGTAGGCATACTACTGTCAGAGAGTGAGCAACCTGGTTATAATGATGTGTTACTAGTAATCACATTCTTGATATTATCACCATAGTGGAAAGTATGGTGTACATATTTGCCAACTTCCAAAATACCTTCTTATCTGAATATTAGTTTTGTTTTTGATTACATTTGAGAAATTGTCTTAAGTTCATAAGAAATTTGGGGCTGGGGTTATGGCTCAGCAGTAGAGCGGTAGAGCACGCGCAAGGCCCTGGGTTTGATTCTCAGCACCACATAAAAATAAATAAATAAAGATATTGTTTCCAACTATAACTAAAAAAATAAATATTAAAAAAAGAAATTTCTATGGAGCAGAATGTCAGTTTGTGAATTTACATTAAGAAACTGAAGCATCACATATAGAAATGGTTACAAGCATGAAAGTCCTTTTTTTTTTCTTTTACCTTCCATAAGAAGATTGCTTGGTTGTTTGAGAGTCAGAACAGAGAGTAACAGAACTTACAGATCCGTGGCATATGCAAGCATCATCAATTTATGAAGCAATTTGTGATCTAGGAATAAAACATACCCCTTATTGTCAATATTTATCTCTCAGTGACTCCCTCTCCTCTCTGTGTTCAGGATTACTATCTCCTCCATTCCATTATTGTTGTATTTTTTCCTATATGAAAACAACAGTCTTCCCCAGATCTTGCTACTAGTATACAAATGTTCTGCATTTAAGAAGTTAAAAGCTTTATGTATATCCGTGAAATTCTGATCCTGTGAAGACTTTATAACAAAAGAGACTAAACCTTAGAGATCAAATAAATTTTTCATGGTCACACACTCACACTAGATTTGGGATTCAAACAACTGTCTTATCTGACTTGATATTTTCAGCTACAGTTTTTCAGTGTTTAAAAACACTGGTGAAAACTCACATTAGACCTTGAATTTTAAATGTACTTATGAGAGTGACTTAGAAGATGTTTTCCAAACTTGGTTGCAGATCCAAATTTACTTGAGGGAGTGATTTTAAAACTACAGAGGGCAAAGTTTTAATATACTAATAAATAAATAATGTCCTTGGCATGGAGTTTATGAATCTTTGTTTTAAAAATACCTCTTATATAATTCTAATTTGGAGCCAAGTTTTGAAACCATAATTTAGAACAACAACTTTCAGAGGAAGTAAAGTAAATTTTAATACTGTCTTTTTTATAACCCATAGGGGCAGTGTCCCTTTGCAAGAATTGTATTCTAAGCAATCCTGGGATTTAAGACTTGGTGAGGTAAAATGCATTGTTACATTATTTTTTTAATTTAGTCACTTTGTGTTCTATAATATTTTAACATTATGACTTACTTTGATTTAAGTTTAGCTTTTATTTATAAATTTCTTTTTAGCTATACTCTTTCTTATATCGGAAAATTATAGCTGAATCTAGAAATAAAAACACCTTTTTAAAAACTATAATGTTCTTCATTTGAAACAAATGAATCTCGATGCATTTTAAATACAATATAAAATATTTTCCAAGATAAAACCTCTTTAGAATTAAGTGTACAAAACATCTATAAGCCTTGGTTATGTAATGTTATAATCCCTGTTATGGTTTGAATGTCAGGTGTCCCCCAAAAACTCAAGTATGAGACAATGCAAGAAAGTTTAGTGGAGAAATGATTCTGTTATGAGAGCCTTAACCCAGTTAGTGAATTAATCCCCTTATGGAGATTAACTGAGTGGAAACTGGAGGCGGGTAGGATGTGGCTGGAGGAGGTGGACCTTGGGGGACTGGGTTTGGGGTATATATTTTGTATCTGTAAGTGGAGCATCTCTGTCTGCTTTTTGATCATTATGTGAACTGCTTCCCTTTGCCATACTCTTCCACCATGATGTTCTGTCTTACTCCAAGCCCCAAGGAAAGGTGCCAACTGTCCATGGACTGAGACCTATAAACTTTTTCCAAATAAACTTTTCCTGCCCTATAATTGTTCTTGTCAGGTCTTTTCGTCACAGCAGTAAAAAAAAAAAAAAAAAAAAGCTGCCTAAAACAATCCTTCTTCATAATAATTTTAGAGAGATTAAATAAATTGTTCACAAACACTTGATTCAGGATTCAAACTACTGTCTTATCTGATTTGATATTCTCAACTATATTGTTTTCTCTTTTTTCTCCATTAATATGTAATTGGATATTATGAATTCATTATCATACATTGACTATCTCCAGTGCACTGGGGATACAAAGGTTAAAAACAGTCTTTCTTTTAACAAAGATTACATTGTTAAGCATTCGACTGCAAGGGACAGATATGGAAGGACATGGAACCTATCTTTAAGAAGCTTTTGTCCAGTAAATAGAGATAGAAAAATCTAATGCATTTAGATGAATTATTCTAATTGTAGTTCGTACAAAATCAGTGGTAGCCTACTGAAAGACACCACTAAGTTTTGTGGTTAGTCAGGAGGAAGATGTTATAGGTAAGAAAACTTCTGAGCAAAAACTCAATAAATTTGCTGAATGGAGGAAATGTCTGGAAAGAAGAAGCAATATAAATAGAAACAAAGATATGAGAGACTGTATCTTGCTTAAGAAACTTCAAGTACCTGTCTCATTCTAGTTACTGTTATTGCTAGTATTTGTAAATCATGAGGGGTCTGGCATGAGATAATTCTGGATAATTTAAAAGAGCAGATCATAAATGATCTGTATGATATTTAATAGTTTAATTTCCTATAAGTTGTAATGAGAGTGGTGTCTTTTATAAAAAAACATAAGACAATGTATAACATAATATATAGCTATATATATATACACACACACACACACACACATATGTGTGTATAATATTAAAACCAGAAAACATAAATGCAGCAAGAAGCCCATTTAAGAAGAAGAATAGAAGATAGAATTTCTGATCATGTCAAACATGAAATTTTGCTGGGCAAGCATTGTGATGTGAGGTGTCCTATCCTGGGAGAATAGGGCAAGTTCCTTGAATAACTTAGTTTCTTCTCAGTTGAAAAAGATCTTCTTTGTTATCCTTTGTGTACATATTTTAGAAATATTTTGAGTTGTAGATGGACAAAATACCTTTAGTTTGATATTTATTTTTATGTGGTGCTGAGGATTGAACCTAGTGTCTCACATGTGTGAGACAAGCACTCTCCCACTGAGCTACAACCTCAGACCATTTATGAACATTTTTGAAGTGGATAATGGAGTTCATGCATGCCTTGAAGTCTGTATAGCTTTCCCAGTTGATCAAGTTTTCTATCACCACTCCTTTTTCTTGTTCTTCTTGCAAATTTGGGGCTTGAATGTTTCAAGAATTGAACAGAAAAGACTTTTTAAAAGATGAAATAGTTATAAGGTTCAAGAAGTGGCTCTGTTCCACATATTTATTCAGGGCTTCAACTTTGTGGATACTTGTCTTTAACTAGTGTTCCCATGTTTGTAGAATATGTTGGTATCAGCAGAAGTAGGAAGGAAGTGGAGGACTGTTGAGTAGATTTTTATCAGCCTGGATTTGCAGTAGTGTATATTACTTCTGCCACTGACCAGAAATTAAACCACAAGTCCAAACCAACTTCAGGGGAGGCTAGGAAATGTGGTCTAGCTGTATATCTGAGAAGAAAGGGAATCAAATTTGGGTAAATAACTAGGAAATGTCTCCTTTTTTCTGTTTATCTAAAGCTCTATATCCCACCAACAGAGAATATATAGAAATTATTTTAGTTAGATCTATGGTATATTTGCAAATATAATTAGCACAGTAAGCCATAAAGAAAATCTAAAAAAAAATAGTGAAGGAGAGAATTGTAACTACATCCTGCAATCAAAATTTAATAAAATTTGAAATCAACCCCCAAAAGTTGTTTGTCATCCTTTAACTTTTTGAAAAGTTGGAGACAATTTGGGTTTTAAAAAAATAAGAAAAAAGGCCATGGATGTATTATAAGTCAAAATACATTCTACTGTCAGGTATAACTAAAAAGAATAAATAAAAAATTTTTAAAAATATGAAAGTCAACTACAAATTACAGAGAAAGTGATGAAAACCAAAACCAGTGTTATGTTCTACAGAAAATTCATACCTTTAAACTTTTTATTTTTTAGTAAATGATAACCCAACTTAAGAAATCAGGAGAATAATAGAACAAATCCCAATAATACCTTAATGCCTTATCTTTTTCCAATTGAATTTACTATGATTGCCTGAAGGTTCCTTTTTGTCAGTAATTTATTTCCTAGAAAGTGGCTATTCTGTTACCTGTTGCTTCTAAACCAATTTAAGTTTCATTTTATTCACTATAGGCTAATTGTGTGTGTGTGTGTGGGGAGAGAACTTCATTGAATTAAAGTACTATAAAACAAATCAGTGGCATTTATTGGGTAGATATAAGTGGAAATTATCATGTATACTTGGGAATTGTTAAAATTTTGGTTTTCTCCTAGATTGTGATGGAAGAAGGAAGAACATGTTCTTTAAAAGGAAGGCCAACATCCACAAAGAAAATCTGTCAGTATGACTGTATAAGTTAATTTTATTCTCTTTAAAACTAACAACTAGAAATCAGTTAAATTAAAAAAAAATTTAAAGATTTTCACTAGCCAATAAATATTTCATAGGTATCTTAGAAAATACTAGTAATGCAATCAATGCTTTAAAATAAGTTTTTTATAAAAATACATTATGAATATACATAATGTAAATGGACAGTTTAACAAATAGTAAAATAAATATCCTCAAACTCAACCATGTACCTTTAAAAATAATATATAAATACTGTACTTTTGAAAATATTCTCAATTGCATTTCCTATCCTGCCCCCTAGAGGTAACTATTTTCCTGAATTTGTTTCTTGGGATGGTATCACACAGACATTTCTGTTGCTTGATTTTAAACTTTTTACATATTGAAAAACTTCTATGTATTTTCCTGCAACTTTCTTTTTTAACTTAGTATTATGTTTTCAGGCTCATTTACTTTTACATTTTATTATTATTTTTATTGTTATGCAGCATTCTGTTTTGTGAATGTGCCACAGTTTATTTATGCATCTTTCGACAATGGATATTTATTTAGTTTTCAATATTTTGCTTTTTGCTATTTATGCCATTCTTGACATTTCTTCTAGCACACATGCATATAAAATTACTCTAGGGTATATTACTAGGAGTAGAATTGCCAATTTAATGCAAAATTATTTTCTAAAGTGTGCCTATTTTACCTACAGCTAACAAAGGGTAAGAATCTTAGTCACATATTTTAACCAACACTATGTCAGTCTTTTGTAATTGTTGGTAATTTGATATTTATATTTTAACATATTTTTCTGATTACTTATTAGGTTAATTGGTTATCTGTGTTTCGTTTGTGAAGTGTATTTCATGTCTTTAGCTCTTGTTTCGTTTAAGAAGTTTGGTTTTACTTATGGGATATCTTTTATCAATAGATCTGTATCTTTTGTAAATCTCTTTTGAATCTTGAATACTAATTATTTATAGGCTTACATGTAACAGATACTTCATATTTGAGTAGTTTTTTCATTCTTTACTGATATGATAGATTAAAGTTTCATATTTTCCTGACACTTCTTAGGTATTCTGTGCTAGAATGGCTCTTTAGGTTATCTAGTCTGCTAGGTACTTAGAAACCTTTGTGGATGTAAAACATTAGTCTGGCTTTTTTAGTTCTTTAATTCCTTGCTTCCTTCAGCATATGGGTATTCTTTGTTGTTTTATGGTGTATCCTTGCAATCTGTAAGATTTCCCTCCCTGAAATAAAGCCTAAAACATATAAAAAAATGCATGCCCACAAAATTTAGTTCTCTTCCTTTATTGCTCTGAGTGTAATACATGCAATTATGTAAAAGAATTAAGTGAATCCTATAGATTCTCCCATGTTAGTACCATATATTTATCATCCTTTTATGACTTGCTAGTCATTCATTCAGTACATTTACTGCAGTTGATTTAATTGGTATCCTATTGATGCACATTTGGGTGGTTTCTTACAAATGTAACTAAAGAACTTGGTGCATATTTTTTTATTTGTGGAGGTGTGTTTTGGTGGTAATTACTAGGGATGGGATTCAACAGTCAAAACAAGATGCACTGTTATTTGATATATATTGCTGAATCTCCACTTTGATGTTATCAAATTTCCTACTTGCAGCATTTAGCCAATTATAACAGTAAGTGCGAGTTATCCCATAGGCTCTTCAACAGATATTGTGGTCAAATCTAGGATTTTTTGTAATTTTGAGTTATTTGAGATGAATAGATAGGTTTTAGTTTGTATTTAATTTCTGTCTGTGAAGCTGAATATTCTTTTAAATATTTTCAGTGGCTGTTTATGTTCTTTTTTTTCTTTTCTTTTTTTTGGTTTTTGGTCTACTTGGCATTCATGTCTTTTGACCAGTTGTGTCCTTGGCCTTTTTTCTTGATACTTAAGAACTAGCTCTTCATATGTTAAAGAGGTTTACATTTTGTAATATAAGTAATAAATATTTTCTTCTAGTTTAATATATTAGCTTTTCATATATTTTGATTTTACTATACTTACGTTGTCTCTTGCTTTGTTTAACAATATTTTACTATTTCTGGATTGCATTAGAAGTTCTCCACACTCCTGGGTTATAAATGAATTCACCATATTTTCTTGTAGCTTTAGTATTGTTTTGTACTTTACATTTATATCTTTAATTTATTTGGATATTTTCCTGATTTAAAGTATGGGACAAGATATCATTCAAGTTCTAAAAATGCATCTTTCCCTAGGTGTTTATGATATTGCCTTTTTAATATACTAACTACATATTATCTGATATGTTTGGAGGTTTTCTTAACTGTTCAATTGGTCTTTCCTTATTTTCATGTGCCAATACCATACTTTTAAACTTAAGATTGTTTTATAGTGTGTTTAATTTCTGGAAATGTTTTATATCTCTGCACTTTTTAAAAAGTCTTTCTTGGCCAGTCTAAATTATTTTTTCATATAAGCTTTAAAATTAATCTAACTCCAAAAGAAACATTTTAATTTTTATTAGGAAACTGTTAAATGTGTATCTTAGTGTGAATTGTTATTGTAATGAATATAATATATCATAGCCCTAAGAATAAGGGTATCTTTCCATCGATTCAATCTAAATTTATAGTTGTAGTTACCTAACATATCTTTAAGCACTTTCTTAAAATTTTTTGAAATAGATTTTGCATGTTTCTTATTTCACTTATTCATAGGTACTTTTTGGTGTTTTTGTTGCTACTTTAGTATGAATATATTTCCTATATTTCTACACTGAGATTCTGGATTGTGGGCTTGTGTGAATTTGTATTGATTATTTTTTCAAGAATTTGACACCTTCCAATAGTTATGAGATATTATCCACTTGTGATTTTGGGAAATTAGTGGTTTGGGTTAAGAGTGATTCTTAGTGTCTGTGGGAATGATTATTATTTTTTAATCTTAGAGTTTTAAGCTTATTGTGGCCAAAACCACATAATGTGAAATTTACCCTTCCAATAGTTTTTATGTGTGTAGAGCTTTATCATCAAACACATGCCACTGTATCTACCCAGTAAAAACTGTCTTGTCTCTCACTTCCCCTGGCCCCTGGCAATCCCCCTTTTACTTTCTGTTTTTATCAGTTTGATTATTTTAGATACTCAAATGAGTGGAATCATGAAGTATTTATCTTTTTTGTGACTGACTTGTTTCACTTGAAATAATGACTTAAGTTTCATCCATATTGTCACATGTACTAACAAGATTACCTTCTTTCTTAATGCTGCATAATATGCCACTTGTATGTGTATAACACTTTTGTTTTAGCCATTCATCCATTGCTGAGGTTGCTTCCAGCTCTTGGCTATTGTGATTAATATTGCAATCAATATGAGAGTAGAAATCTCTCTTTTAGACCCTATAATAGGTTTTCAGTTCTTTTGGCAATGCACCCATAAGTAGGATTACAAGATTCATGTGGTGATTCCAATTTTAATTTTTTTGAGGCATCTCTGTACTATTTTCCATAGTAGCTTCCCCATTTATTTTCTTACCAAACATGCAGGACAGTAATTATTCTACTTCATCATCAATACTTATTCTAGTTTTTTTTTTTTAAATGATAGTGGCCTTCCAATAGGTGTGACATGTTATCCAGTTGTGATACAGCTCTTTTACAAAGGTGAATCTTATTAAAGGATTTTGCAACTTGGACTGTCTTTGCATTCTTATAATCTTGCCAAGTGATGATGTTTTATAATATTGATTATTTTTTAAAAAATAGTTTAATATTTTATTTGTTATTAGATTTTTGCATCAGTATTCATAAATGAGATTTTCTATATATAGAGAGAGGGAGACAGTGTGTGTGTGTGTGTGTGTGTGTGTGTGTGTAGTCTTTGTCAGATTTTGTTGAGATTGTACAGATCCAGAAACAATTTAAAAGCTACATACTTGCCCAAATTGAGGCTAGCTGAAAACTTTCTTGATATTTAAATCTCTTGCCCTTTCCCCATCCCAATTTCACTACTTCATTACAAATTACTTTATGATGTTTGGTTTGGTAGGTAGGGAGTCATATACTACTTCCTAGGCCCAGTTTTAAACTTTGTTTGCAATCATAAGATAACATATTAAGCAAAAATGAAAAAATATAATATTGGTGCTTTGGATAGATTTTTTTTTCATACAGTTTTGATTGCACAGTAAAGTTTCATTGACTAGATTAGCAAATATCTGATACCTTGGGACTCAATTTATGTCTGCTTCCTACAGTTGACACTTTAAATTATTTGTTCATAAAAAATGGCACATATATTGGAAAACATCAATCCTAATTTTCTCATTTCTGCTTTCCTCTCTTATGTACCCCTATTACTTGTAGATAACCATTCTTTTAAGAGTAAAATAAACCCATAAATCCTGTTATAAATGCAAGGTGCCAAGTAGCCTAAATTTTAACTAAATTTAGCACATTTTAAAGTGCTGTTTGTTAGGTTAGCTAATCTTTGCACACAGATATCTTCTGCCTTTGGATATTTTATACAGCAATAGTGAATATCATTCTTCATGAATTAAACCTTTATTTTCAGGTCTTGATTCTTCACAGAGTAGTCAGTCTGCCAGTTACTCTCCAAGGCCAACGGATAGTTGTTTAAGTTCTAGTTCAGAGATGGTAAGTTATGCCTTTTTACTTATAAATTTTATATTCATTTAGATTTTTTATACTGGAGATTGAACCCAGAGACACTTATCCACTGAGCCACATCCCCAAATCTTTTTTTGTATTTTATTTGGAAACAGGGTCTCACTGAGTTGCCTAGCGCTGTGCTAGGTTGCTGAAGCTGGCTTTGAACTTGAGATCCTCCTTCCTCAGCCTTCCAAGCCATTGGGATTACAGGCATGCACCACTGTGCCCAGCTAGAATTATTTTTGTCAGTTTACTTTTACATTATGAAAAACAGTTGAACCAATACAGAGTGGAAATAAAAAATAATATAAATGAAAATGTAAAAAAGTAAACAATATAAGAAATATTGTAAAACGTGAAAGCATAAGAAAGTGTACACAAAAATGTAAAATAAAATAATAAGAAAATGTAAACAGTTGGGTGTGATAGCTTATGCCTACAATCTCAGCATTTTGGGAGACATGAGGCAGGAGGATCATAAATTCAACTTGTCTTAGCAACTTAGGCCCTAAGCAACTTGGCAAGACCTTGTTTCGATAAAAAAATAAAAAGGGATGGAGATATAGATCAGTGGTGAAGTGCCCCTGAGTTCAATTCCCCAGTACCAAATTTAAAAAAAGAAAAAAAATTACATAAAAATATATTATTTGTAAAATTGTCTTAACAAGATGTATATAATTTGAAGCATAAAACAACCAAGTGTACCTTCAAAAAATAAAAGTCTCAAGACTTATATAAGAAGAAATTGGATAACAGTGTTGGAGACTAAAATATGAATAATTTGAAAGACATTTCTGAGTGAGAATCTACACTTCTGACAAATCACTTTTAGAAGGGAATTCTTACCTTCACTCTTTTATCTTCATTCCTTGTTGCCTTTAGTATCTAATTTGCCGTCTTGCTAAGCATACCAGTGACTTCTGTGTAGTCAGATTGACTGGATGCTTTTCAGTCTTTATCTTATGAGATACTGATAGAAATTATTATTTAATTTCTTTGAAATATTTTTCTTCTTTGCTTTTATTTTAACACACTATCTTTGTTTTCTTGATATCTCTATGAATGCTTTTTTATGCCTTTTTTTCACTTGTCTTTTTCCCTATATAAATGTTGTAATGTTTAGGGTTTCATACAAGACCCTGTTCTGTAAACCTATAATCTAAACCTTTAGTGATTTTATATATTCTAATGACTTTTATACTATCTGGGTGATGTCAGTTCCTAGTTTTATGACTTTAGCCCTGGTTCTTATTTAGATGTTCAAATTTCTATTGGACACATCTTGGATATTTCACAAAGATCTTTTTCATACCTCAAACTTAAAACCTAATTTTTCACCCAAATCAGTTTTTTTTGTATTTCTGTATCAATAAATATTTTTTGTATTTGCCCAAGCGTTCATATCAGAAGCCTACTATAATAGTTAATGTTGTCATTTCTTTCTTTCTCAAATCTGCCTCCCTCAATTATCTTCATTTCATCACTTTGTGCAATCAATTCTACCTCCAAAATAAATTGTGAATTTATCTACTTTCAACAAGCACCAGTGCCCTATTCTAAGTTATCATCATCTTGTTCTTGAACTGTTCTGGCTGTTTCAAAGAGATGTCTTTACTTTCACTCTTCCCCCAGCGTCTTCTCTAGTTAGCAGATATCATAATAAAAAAAAAATAATAAGTTGGCCAGGCACAGTGGCACAAACCTGTAATCCCAGTGGTTCAGGAGGCTAAGGCTAGAGGATTATTGGTTCAAATCCAGATTCAACAATTTAGTGAGGCTCTAAGCAACTTAGAACCTACCTCAAAATAAAAAATAAAAAGTCCTCAGTGGTTAAACATCCTGGGTTCACTCTTTGGTACCAAATAAATAAATAAAGTAAGTTGAATCATGTTATTCTGATGTGTAATAATTCAATGGATTTCTATTTTCCGATAGAATCTGAACTTACAGTGGCTACTAGCTCTTGGCCACCATTTCCTGTTTCTTCCAGTATTCTTCCTTTCTTCTTTTTCTTCCACACGTATTGACCCTTCATTTTCCTTAGTTTGTCATTCTCCTTTCGGCTTCAGGGCAGGAATTTATTTCTTTTTTCTCAGTCTTATTCTTTTTTATCCTTTAAGTCTTATGTTAAATATGTCACTTATTTAAAAAGTCCTTCCCTGGCTCCCCAGTATAAATATGGCTTCTCCCTTAGTGATGCTCTGAAAGTGCCTCATACTTGTTCCTCATAATGCTTTTCTCAATCTATAGTTATGTGTTTATGTGTCTGATTATTTTGCTAATTTTATTTTTACTCATTATGTGAATTCCAAGAGAACAGCAACCATTTTGTTTCACTCATATTGCAGATGCCTTTTAGTAAGTGAATGTTTGTTTCTTAACTAAATACATGCATTGAGCTTTTGTTTTCCAATTTGTGCTCAGTTTTAATGCTCTGTCTTGGGCTTACTTTAGTTTTTTCATTATTATTTTTGCCACTTTTTTTAGTTTGAATGATTAGTACTTTTAAATATTCATAAAAAGTATGATTTTGTTCTTAATAAATACATTTTTCATGAAGTTGAAAAATTCAGGCTTAGCAAATTTAAATCTAGGCCTATTAAAAGTTATTACAGTTTGTATTTTTAGATAAAAGCTAACATATTTATTCCTGTTAAACTTTTATTTTTTAAAAATTTTTTTAGTTGTAGATGGACACAGTATCTTTATTTTATTTATTTATTTTTATGTGGTGCTATGGATTGAACCCAGTGCCTCATGCATGCGAGGCAAGTGCTCGACCACTAAGGTACAACCCTAGCCCCTAAATATTTTTGATATTCTGTTAGCTGATATTCTCCTTATATTATCTTCTTAAGATATATCTTTCATGGGATGGACCCATAAAATGTATGTAATGAGTATGTTTTCCTTAATGAATTGGTGAGTAAATAATAAAAAAGTTTCAACCGTTCCCTTCAAAGGTATCACTTTGGCAGTCTTTTGAAGTGATTGAATAGTGAATTGCCCATCATTTCTTCAGTGTTAGAGATTGATGGAATGATGCATTCCGTGATTATAAGTACTGAGAAGACATAAGATTCCTCTTGTTTTTTTTTTCCATTTTTATTATTTAAAAATCCACAGCCTGCTGAGTGAGATGTATGGTAGATTCAAGACACTTTGATAATATATATGCTTTGCTTAGTAACCTGTCAGTCTCGCCTGTATTTAGAAATTTCCTATAATGTGAATTTTAAGAATGTTTACTTGGAAGTAATTGAACAATTTTATTAGGCATTTTATTTAAGCGTTATTTACAGCAAAATTATTTAATTTCTTTTAGCCATCAGAAGATGAAGATCAAATGTTACAGCAAATTGAAGACTCAAATAAGATATGTGTCAAAACTACTGAAACAACCAATGATTTTCATCTAGAAAGGATGTCAAAAGTTTCAGGTGATAGGATTGGTAAAGATAATGCCAAAATTCACAAACAAACTGAAAATTTCTACCCATTCTCAGTGAAAAATAATACAGATCAATCTCCTCAGTTGCAGTGCAATTCAGCACATGTGTTGCAAAACAAAATCAATGATAACTGCATTCTGCCAGTTGTAAGATGTGATGCAGGGGTACAAACAGAGAGAGAACCTGCAATGGAAGAAAAATTTGATGTTGCCGTACAGTGTAATATAATTTCACTATGTACATGTAGAAGTGATGTGTCTCCTCTTTGCCATATAGAAATACAGTGAAAATATTAAGGCATATACCACTGGAGGGCAGGAAATCCTTAAGAAAAACTAGTATTCTAAAATCTCAGTCTAGGATGTAACATTTCAGTTGACCTTGGAAGGCAATAATAAATGTTCAGAATTTAATTAACATAATAAGGAATGAGAAAATGTAACTAAGCATTAGGCTAAAGTATTTAGAAAGTCTATTCATGATTCTAAGACGTTTTAATATTTTATGCACTTAATTTTTTTATAGGCATTTCTTTGATGGCTTTAGTGTATCATCAAGGTTTTATAAAATAGTCTTATAAATATATTATCATTTTCATGTTTATTATTCTTTACATTATTATGATATGCTGTTATTCCTGGATTAAAAATGCTTAGCTTTCTTCCTTGTGGCATTTACTTTAAAATTAGGTGCAGTTGTATCTTGCAGGAAAAATATTTTCTTCCAAGACTTTAGGGCAGAAAATAATAGTACCTAATGTGTTCTATGTCTTCATCATAAGAATTTTGTTAACTACTTCTCTTTAATGTTATACTCCACTTAAAATTCTAGATTTTTTTTTAACTCTGGTTTCATTTGTGTGTGTGTATGAGACTGCTGGGGAGCAAACTCAGATCCTCACAAATACTTGGCAAGTGCTCTACCACCAGTACCCACCAGCCTATGGATTAATTTTTAGACAAAATATGACTTCTTTTTTGTTTGGATAACATTTGTTGTTAGTGCTTGTATCAACTCAGAGGAAGAATGTTTTCCTCCTTAAGGTTAAAAAATATTTTAATGCTTTTATAGAAAAAAAGTTTTAAAATTGGAAAAATTTGTTTCTTTTTTTAATGTTGCCAAGCTTCTTTAACAAATATTACATCAAAATTTCTTAGTCTTTTAAAATGTAGGCTTTGATTCTAGCACATTTATCTTATACCACAATTTTAAATGTTTGTACTTTAAAATTAACATTTGTTTGGATATGCAGATGCTCGGAGACTTATTAGTGGGGTTACATCCTGGTAAACTGATTGTAATTGAAGATATTTTAAGTTGAAAATGCATTTAGCTTACCTAACTTACCAAGCATCATAGCTTAGCAATATACTACATTATATAAACTATTGGTTTTCCCACATGATAGAGTGGCCGACAGAGTGTTTGCAACTTGTCACTAACACTGTGAACTATTATACTACAAATAGCTAAACCAGGAAAAGATCAAAATTCCATTTTGGATTTATTTCCTGAGAACTATTTTGCAAAAATATAACATATTGTGTAGGAAAGACTAATTATGTGGAATAAGAAGACTATACTGACAACTTTGAAATAATATTAAGCTGTGAGCCTTACCTTGGTTTCAACTGTTAAATAAACCAATGTTTTCCAAATATGAATCAAAGTTTGTCAATATAGAAAGCAAATTAACTACAAAAGTCTACACTAGTTCAGTTTTTATCAATATCATAATGTAATAGTTAAGCTCAGTAATGTATGAATTTTGGAGCTTTTAAAAGGCAATGATCACTCCCAGTGAGAGCAGGGAAGTCTCAGGGTAGTACAGAAATTAATCTTGTCCAAAAAAAGGTTTGGCCTTCATTTCTGGGAGTGTCATTCTGTATTTTTGGTACCAGGGATTGAACCTAGGGGTGCTTAACCACTGAGCCACGTCCCCAGCCCTTTATTTTTTATTTTGAGACAGGGTCTTGCTAAGCTGCTTAGGGCCTCACTAAGTTGCTGATGCTGGCTTTGAACTCACAATCCTCTGTTAGCCTCCTAAACTGCTGAGATTATAGGCATGTTATTCTAAACGAGTCTTCTTATTAATCTGAGAACCTTGGGAGAAGCCACATTGTAACAGTGTGAATTAAGATGAAGCTTTTGATTCAATCAGTATCAGCTTGACTTCCTTTGGGACTGGAGAATGAGATCAATCATTTAGGCAGTCACCATGCCATTGTGTTGGAGCCCTAGTAAGGACTCAGGACACCATAGCTCAGGCAAACTTCCCTGATTAGCAGTACTCCATGTATATTGTCATATCTTTGTAGGAAAGTAATGTTATCTATGATTTTGTGAGAGAACTATTAGAAGCTCTATGTTTGTTATTTTCCTAGACTATGTCTGTGAGATTCTTCTGGCTGATTTTAATCTGTATTCTTTCTCTGTAATAAACCACAACTGTGAATACAACATCTTTCAAAGAGTTCTTTGAGTCCTAGTGAATTATTAAATTTGAGTGTGGTCTAGTGACACCCAAACAAGTGATCTTTGTATTCTCTAAGACTGGAGAAACATTGTTCTTCCCTAGTTGATCTGAAGGATAAAGCTTCAGTTACTCACAGTGATAATTTGCTTAATAAACCCTTTATTACTTTTCTTCCTTTTTCACGTCTCACTTCCATGCCATGTTTGTTTGTTTTTTTTTGAGATTATACACCAAAGGGTATTTACTTGAATCCTTGCCTCATAATTTGCTTTTGGAGCAAGTCAAAAGATTGGCAGGAACCATAACAAGTAGATAAATGAATTGTATGTATAGTTTAAATCAAATGTTAATATTCCTATTTTTTTTGTCTCAGATTTCCATTTCTGCTAATTACTGAAAATACATTGGTCTAGTGGCATATTAGATACAGACAAAGAAAGCATTTGTGAAGTTAAATATACATAAAATGCCCATAATTCAGAAGATTTTTAGTATCAGGTATGAGAGAATAAGTTAACAATAAGGAGGACAGAGAAGACACTTCAAATATGCTTAATTGAACTACCAGCAGTATGGGAAAGAATGGGAAAGCAGCATAATATGAAGAGATAATGGCTGTTTTCCAGAAGTGATCAATCATACTAATACACAGATTCAAGAAAGCTGGTGATTTCCCAGTAGAAAAAAAAAGAAATACATATTTTAGGCTCAATATAATAGTTAAGACTCAAAAGCAAAGGAAGATCATGAAAGCAGCTGAGGAGAAAAAAAAACTGCCTTCTTAGGGCAGCTATAATATCAGATGGATTTTTAATTAAATTTTTATTCTAATTTGTTATACATAATGGCAGAATGCAATTCATTTCATATTACATATATAGAGCACATTTTTTCAAGTCACTGATTGTACACAAGTATTTTCACACCATTTGTGTCTTCATACATGTACTTAGGATAATGATGTCTAACTCATTTCACCATCTTTCCTACCTCCTTTCCCCCTGCTTTTCCCTCTCTCCCCTTTGCCCAATCTAAAGTTCCTCCATTCCTTCCATGCCCCCACTATTGCCATTATGAGTCTGCATCCTCATATCAAAGAAAACATTTGGCCTTTATTTTTTTGGGAGTGGCTTACTTCACTTAGCATGGTGTTCTCCAACTCTATCCATTTACCTGCAAATGCCATGATTTTATTCTCTTTTAATGCTGAGTAATGTTCCATTGTGTATATATACCCAAGTTTACCTTTCCATTCATCTACTGAAGGGCATCTGGGTTGATTCCACAATTTAGCTATTGTGAGTTGTGCTGATATAATAGTATGCTGTTTTTAAGTCCTTTGGGTGTAAACTGAGGAGTGGGATAGCTGGGTCAAATGGTGGTTCCATTCCAAGTTTTCCAAGGAATCTCCATACTGCTTTCCAAATTGGCTGCACCAATTTGTAGTCCCACCAGCAATGTATGAGTGTGCTTTTTCCCCCACATCCTCGCCAATATTTACTGTTGTTTGTATTCTTGATAGCTGCCATTCTGACTGGAGGGAGATGAAATCTTAGAGTAGTTATGATTTGCATTTCTCTAGTTGCTAGAGATGTTGAACACTTTTTCATATGTTTGTTGATTGATTGTATTTAGAGAGCCTGCAGAATGGGAGCAAATCTTACCACAAGCACATCAGATAGAGCACTAATCTCTAGGACATATAAAGCACTCAAAAACCTTAACACCAAAAAAACAAATAATCTAATCAAAAAATGGGCCAAGGAACTGAACAGACACTTCTCAGAAGAGGATATACAATCAGGTGAATTTTATTTTATTATATTTTTTTTTGTGTGTGTGTGTGGTGCTAGGGATTGAACCCAGGGCCTTGTGCATGCAAGGCAAGCACACTACCAACTGAGCTATATCCCCAGCCCATGAATTTTTAATATCAATAATTTAAACCAAAAGACAGTATAATAAACCTTCCAAATGCTGCCAGAAAATAATTGTCATCCTAGATTGTGTTTCCAGTGCTACAGCTATAGTAATATTTGAAATCACAAAACTAGCCACTACAAACTTTAAGGAACCACTGACACAGGATTTGGTAATTTATACTTAATGTTTTTGTATTATATATAGATTGTGCTTTTTCTTTGTGGGAAAGTTTGTTACTTATTTTTCACTATTTAGTCTTTAACTCATGAGTTCAACTGTTTTTCTGTTTTTTATATGTTTTTAGGCTACCTTGTTAAGTGCTTTAAAACCTTTGAAATTGTTTTTAGCCACAGGCATTTTTTAAAATTTTTTTTCCAGTGTTGTGTCTGTTTCACTGCAGTGTGCATTCCTGTATGAACCTGTTGCTCAAGAGATTATGTATTCTCTCATTTTTTTCAAATTACTTTTTTTTAAGATTTTATTTATTTTTTAAAATATTTTTTAGTTTTGATAGATCTTTATTATTTATTTATTTATACATGGTGCTGAGAATTGAACTCAGGGCCTCGCATGTGCTAGGCAAGCACTCTACCACTGAGCCACCCCAGCCCCAAAAGGCTTTTTGATTAAGATCAAATCCTGGTCACTATCAGGAAAATAGGGAGTGAAGATCATGTCAAGGTGTTATTGTATAACTCTTTGCAAGAAGGTGGAATGGTACCTTAAATATCCCTAAGAATTTTAAATGGCATGCATTGCAGATTATCTCTCCTAATTAGTGTGTTTTTAAAAATATAAGTGGTGCTTTCCTTTGGCAATATTACAGGAAACCAAAGATAGAGGAAAGGTTTATCTTGATGAATTTTGTAGGTGTAGCTTTTGTATAAT